CTCATCAGAACTACACCAGACACAACACAATCCAACAACCAAGCAAACTACTTGATAAACATTCAAAGAGTATCCATTTAACCTTCTGTTCATTTTGCAATTTGCTATCTTATGTTTTTATTTATAGACTATAGTATATCAATATCAAAAATATTCTAGTCTTAGCCAAGCAAATTCTCTAAATTACTAGAATATCAAAAAGACTTACTTTCTAAGTATGTCTATTCAATACCAAACCAATACCAAACCAATACGACCACTACTTAGCTCCCATAAGATCTACCTGATGTTTTGCCAGCTAACTACGCCTTGCAACTTTAATAGAGTCAATCTGCTTTGACTAATTTAGTTTTACATATCTACCCTACAATTCAATATGACGTCATCCTCACACACAACCACATTTATTTAACAAATCGCATCGATACTCGTCTCAAGGAAGGTCTTTAATAGAGTAGGCATTGGCCAATGAGCCATATCCAACCCAACCAAACACTAACACCATCTAATCTATAAAAGCTTATCTAAAACTCTCGAGCAAATATAGTAGAATAAACTATAGCACCATCCGCTTCTAAATCTACCCTTAGGGATGAAAGGTTGTATTCCTGGTCCTAGAGACAGAAAAGAGACTCATTTGGTACTTTGGCTCAATAAAGATAATCTCCAAGTCTCACATGCTGAGGGCTTTTGTATTTCAAACTGGGCGAGCTTCATACTCGGCGTGCCACAGTTATTAAGAGCATGACGTCATATCAAATGTAGATAATATATGCAAAATAAATTAGTTAAGGAATTCAGATTCTATTGAAATTACGTGTTAGTATTGGGTTAGTATGATGTTAGGACATGGGTCATAGATCAATTTTGATCGAAGTAGAAGGTATATATTTAGGGAAGAAGAGAAAGGTATGAAATTATCCTTTGAAGTATTAGGAGTTGGGCTGGCTTGGTTGCTGGGCTGGGGTAGTGACATGACTAGTGCAGATAATGTAACCGCGCCAGAACGGCGGGACGGATGTGCTTACACTAGAGACGGTTTCAGGCTTTTTCAAGATCGCCTTAGATATAGTGCCAATCCCGACTGCATAAGAATGGACTATAAGAACAATGATATACTTAATGATGACGATATACCCAAACAGCATCTAACGCATTGGGATGATTTACTGGCATCCGGACTGCTATGTGAGTCGGAAGCAAACACACTTCTTCAAATGTTATCTGTTTGCTACATAATTAAGCAACCGAGGAGTAAGGAGTGCCCTTTCGATATTGAAAAGGATTCTCTATCATATGCATTAGCTATGACTATAGCGAAGTTTCAGAAGCGCTATGACATGGCTTATGAGTATCATGAACAACTAAAAGCCGTAACTAAAAGCACTACGGGGGCGGATATCGTCTCTTTGTTTAGACACAGGAGTTATGAGACAGCTGATGCTAAGTACAAACTACTTAAAAAGGTTATTCTTAAGGATTACTCGAAGTGGTTGGCTTATTCTAATCCGTTCGAGGCGTTAAACATTACTGAGGATGAGATCAAAAATGCGGTTGAAGCTTGGAAGACGGCGATCAAAGATGAATCGACATACGGAACAAACGATTGTTTAGAGCACCAGCTTAGATACTTCTTGTACGATGTACTAAGGATACAGCTAATGGCCTCTAGCTTTTTAAACATTTCCAAGGAACGTTGGGGCCGTTATGTCAATGGCACAATCAGCAGTGAACATAAGAACGAAATAGATGCTATCTTGAAACTAAACGTGGTTGATCTCATAAGAAACGTGCCAGCGGATGAAGCAGCCAAAACGATATATAAACAGTTGTCGCGTGTTCGTCACTTAGGGTGGTGGTATTACAACAATTTTCAAACAACTGACCTTAGACATCGGCTGAATGAGCTCCTTAATGATCTGTCTGCCCAGTATAGATCCTTTGAATTTTCCCTCGATCAAATTAAGCAATGGGCTGATGATATGAAAATGGTATCAATTCATCTTTTGTTCACACTGAGTAGGGCCAAGCAATTGCAAGAGAAGCTTGCGCCAGAATTAGCAAAAAGCACGTCATCCAGCTCTATTCACAAGTGTGTAGAATATCTAGCCACTAAGTCATTACCGGCCTCCTCGTCCAATACTAACCTGCCGCCCAATTCTCCCATGTTCCACGTAGCTATAGGCAGCCTGATATGGGCCCGCCTCACTCATCTATTCGGACTGTCTTCTTGATGGCTTACTCTCTTTACTAACCCAATACTAAACCCAACTACTAATTCATGATTTAGCTTGTGCATCTCAAATCAACACTAACGTTCGTATCCTAGGGTGGCCACCCGCTGTCTTCGATCAATAATAGTGTCTACCAAGACATAATCAGACCGGCTAGTATTAGGTCAGTGTTGAGATTTATGAATAAAGTATCAATGGGCTATGACGTATAACACCTAACCCAATCTTCCCTGTTATAACATCAAGTTGGTGTCTTCTTCTTAAACTGATTGCATTCTGTATTTATAGTTTGGAATTGTACTCTACCGATCTCCAACCCATTTTGATTAACTCTTACTCTTAGCACTGCTGATGAAGAATAAAGATATGTTGGCTCGTGTTTATCTCCTGTGAAACATACTGCAAGGCAACTGATATAATTCAAGGGCCCATATTCTTTACTAGCAAAGAATATCGCATATTGAATGCTACAGTAGCAGCTATTCTTGTTGTATGACTGATGGTCACACGTTGATTCATATCCAAGCACGATCTTTTGACCATAGTGAACAAAGAAACTTATTTAGGGGATTGTATCTAGATTGGATCATAAAGTCTAAAATAGTATTCAGTTGTTTTACCTTCTTAGATTCAAATAGAGAATAAAAGCAATATCAAAATTACAATTCCAAGTGAGTAGTTTTGAAATGAGAAGGGTTCTGTTTTAGTTTTAGAATATGACATTGTGTTGAGTTAAGATAAGTTGAGTTGAGTTAGATAGGTTGGAAAAACAAAGGAAAAGTTAGACAGGTAAACAAAGAGATATACTTACTGTATTTCTATCAATAAACTCTATGGTTAAACCAACCCACTGAATTAGTAAATTGGGTTTGAGTTGGATATATTTAGATGGTTTAAACACCATTGAGTCATTGAGTCATCGGCAATAAATAGAGTTAAAGATCAATTGGGTTGTTTATTGGGTTAGTCTGGGATTAGTATTGGGGTCGACAATTTGAGTTAAATGGGCGGGGTTGGTATTGATTTCATTAGAAAGGTTTTGAGTTAGAGTACTCATCGTTTCGTAGGGTTTGTAGAAGTAGTAGTTGCCATCAGTCCATGGTGTGGGACTAGGATCGTCGGGATTAGCAGTAAAGCCGTTGGTTTGATCATTAAGAAAGTTACATGTCGAGGATGAAGTACACATTAGCTGTTTAAAGGCTTCAAAGATGCCTGTCCGATTGCAACAAGAACAACGTTTGTCTTGGGCTGTTTCCGCTTGATCGCTTTCCATTGTACTTGCACACTCAATGCAGATCGGATGCCCACACTTGAGAAAACACGCCGCAATAGCATTGCCGTTGCAATATGAAGCGGGGCCCATATCTTGCCTTATTAGCATTGGCTGGGCACACAGTTCGCTGAAACAGATCGGGCAGTCCAGAAGCCAGCCGTTTGTTTTATAATAATGAAGCTTTTCTATGATCATTTTAAGAGATGCCATGTTGATTTCATTGTAGTTGGGTATGAGATCCTGAATGTTGTTGCAGTAGGCGTAAAGAAGCGATAGAAGTTTGTATGATAATGCGGTGAAGCTAGCTTCTGAATCAGGGCTTATTGGCAGTATATTATTATCATAGGGCCGAAATAGTAGATTAATTGAGCCAGTGTCGGCGGTGGGGTCTTCTAAATGGATGGATTTGAGTAAAGGTAGGCCAATGATCATATACTCACACGAAGTTATGGTCTCCCTCTCATTGTCTGTCAACTTAAGGTTTGCCAGCCATAAAACAACTAGCTTCTTAAATCGGCAGGCCACCCAACGGATAATACTAATCACATCAGCATTAGTTAAGAATGGTTTGTCACTGATGCACAAGAACAGCTTCTTAACGGAATTGTCCTGGTCTCTGGTAGCAATAGGATGATCGGTAAAGCTGGTCTCTAAGGCCTCAAGGGTATTGCTGTAGTAAGTAAGCTCTTTATCATGTATCAAAGAAGGTTGACCGAATTGAACCATTGCGTTGTATTGCTCAGCTAGATTGGGCATAACTTGAACACCAAAGGCCTTGATATCCTGCAAAGTGGGAATATGTGGGTCAAGGTAGCCTTGCTGCAAGAACAATTTATGTAAGCCAAGTTCTTGAGGGGTTTTCATTCCTTCATAGTCCTTTACATAGTTAAACAGTGAGAACCCTTCAGTCGTATTTTCCTGGCTATCCGGACTAGCCTCAATTAAGTTGTTAAGACCAACAATCACGAGTTTAGTGATATTACGAGTCTCGTTATGAGCAAGGACTTTCGCAACAGCAAGATTAGGGAGGTTGTGATTTATGATATGTATCTCTGTCTGGCAAGCAAACAAACATTGATATAGCATTCGATAAACAAGACGCAGATCAACCTTATCTAGCACCAACTTATTGAGGTTGATATGATATTTGGGGTATCTATTGAGCAGAGTCTCTAATTCTTCCAGCTCCGAGCAGGCTTCATCCGTACGCACATTTGAGATACAAAGTTCATGGGCAGTGATGTTTTTAAACCAATCTAGAGCTTCGATACATAAGCTAAGCTGGTTGGCGGCTGGCTTCTTAGCACCACAAATGTTAATGGTTGTATAGCGTATGTGCTGGCAGCTATATGAATAATCCGTCCACCAATTAGATATCTTGTCAAGCTGAATGTTGAGTGGGGCCACATGCCACCACAACGGGTTGCTGAGTGCATGGCCACGGCATTCAGGCAACCTGTCATTCCAACCGATTAATTCTTCAGAGCTGGTATTAATCCTGCTGAGCCAATTTAGAGCGCTATGAAAGTCTTGTCGCCCATTCGCATAATTGAGCTCAAGACATTCAACGGAAATGCCATGCTTCCGCAAGGTCTTTATATAGATGACTTGGCAGTCAGTGTGCGGAGCGCATGGAGATCCCCTTCCCGCGTTGATAATCATTTTAGTAGCAATGAGGCCGGCCTTAGGTCTTTTTGGCAATGTATAGGCAGTTTTCATTTCCTGGATCGTGTATGGGCCATCCCAATTAGTTATAATGGTATGAACCTTGGTTGGGGAGTCGTTAACCATTGCAATGCGTCGGATATCGCTCCAATCTGCCATTAGAGCTATTGGTGGGTCTTTATCAGGTAGATTTTTCAAAGTAAGTTGATCTAACTTACTCGGTTTTTGAATCTTAATTTCAATCATCTTACAATTGTGATGCGAGAATCGCAGAGCTTCCAAGTCAAAACATCCTTTCGGTCCAGGGGTCCAGTTGATTTTGAGAGTATATCTATCTTGAAAAGGAATGCTTTCAAGATAAGTAGAGAACTTTGCGATGTGGCTATAATTCAATTTGAGAGTTAAGATAGGACGCAGAACAACAAGATTGATAAGCATAAACTTCTCAAACGGCAAGGCCTGCCAACTTGGCACAATAGTCAGGTGAATTTCTGGACGACCAGCATGTTCAACTGTCTTTTGCGCCTCGGCTTGGCATTCATTCACATTTAAACCATCAGTATAGCCATCTAGCATTTGGCAACCAGCAAACCAAAAACATATCCGCTCACAACTAAGCATATTAACAACTCGGCACAAAATCAGCATGTTGTATTGGGTTAGTATTGGGTTGTAGCCGGAAAACTCAACTGTGGCATAGCAAGTCTTAAGCACAGCAATCTTTCTTAATTCCTCCAAAGCCGCCTGGGCTCTAGTGGCATCGGGATAGGTTGGTAGATGAAATGTAATTCGCCGTAACGAAGTATGTATTACATAACTGGGTGTCTTATTTTGTGTGGAATCAAGCTGAGCCGATATTGGGTTGGTATTAGTATCTGGAGCGGACTCTAATGGCTGGTGGGGGGTGTAGGCTTCGACCTTTAGATCTTGGGGACCAAAGTCATTAGTAAACCCAATAGATACTAGAACCTTATGTATCTCATTTGCGGTGGGCAATTTCGGCGGATCTTCCAAGCCAGTGCGACTAGCCACGTGCACGCAATTCAAAAGCACTAGCATGGTGGTCAGAGCCCAGTGAGTGCAACGTCTTGTTGGGTTAGTAGCGGATTTGTTTGTGGTCGGGATAGCCATTCTAGAAGCGTGTTGGTGAGTGCTTGGGCATTTGAAAGAGTGGATTGAATTATTCTGAACGTATAGATATGAGAGTGTTTTCATAAGTAGAGATAGTTTCATTTGGCTTGTAAAGAAAATTAGAGATAGCCAGATACCACGTGGTTATTTTAAAAATGAAATGTTGATCTATGATGGGTTTGAGAAGCAAAGCTATTATTGGGTTATGTCGTGTCTGAGCCACCCCCACACATCTTAATGAGAATCTCGAGATATCTCTACTTTTAAACGCATTAATTAGCAGGGCAAAGAACTTAGATATTTATTGGAGACGATGATATGACGTCATACTCAAATTTTAATAATTCGGCTACTACTGGGTTAGATTGGGTTAAATTTTGAATATGATTCAAATTCTCTACCAACCCAATAATAACCCATTACGTGCGCGATCAGTCAATGAACAGACGATTTGGTGTGAGGACGGAGTAGTGGTTATGTAACGACACCACAGCTGGATCAAGAAGGCCGTCTTTTCACCACCAATTCGACACACACTCACCACTAACTTAACTTAGTCCATACCACTCTACTAAGCTAGAACTAAGTATAGAAAGGGATACACACTATTAATCTAAAACACGCCGCTAAATGGATATAAAAGCAAGACACCTGCATTGACTTAGTATTGTCATTTTGATGGTTGCTTGTGAAATTTAGTACTGTTTAGAGATAGAAAAAGAAATGTTGAACGTGAAACTAAACTGCATATGGTTGCAGTTAGGTTGGGTTATGGCTATGTTTATCATGGAATTGGCTGGTGTAGATGACAATACAGATGCCATTCAGCAAGAAGTAGACAATCTGCATTTATGTAGTTCTGCAAGCACAGATAGTAGATCATCCGATGATGAGTCGAGCCGAAACAGCTCCAGACTAGTCGCTATTTTAAAAGCGTTTGGGATAATTAACGAATCTGAGGGCAGAGCTAATTACACCTTGACAAAACTCGAGTGCAGACCAGCCTCATTGGGCTACACAAACTGGGAGCTTATCTTTAACTCAGAGAACACTGAAGACACTAAAAATACATGCGATCTTACTTTGACTTTTGACATAGCTACTCAAACTCGAATCGATCAGTTGAAGACAGTAAATAAGCAAGAATCTACAAATCAGAGGGAGGCAATGATAACAAAAGAAGTAGGTCATTTGGAGTTTTTGGGAACAGCAACCAACAAAGAAAGTAAGGCAGTCCAAGCATTCTTAGATTTACTGCAAGTCACGCAACCTTTGAAAATCAATATACGATGGTGTGATCATACAATGTGGGAAACTAGAACAGCTCGAGCTAATATAGAGATTGTAAATGCTTCTATTCGGGTTTGGATAGAAGAAGATCTCGATACGTGGGTGCCGGTATTTGAGGAGATCGAAAGAAAACACTGCCTCCCAGTAATTAGGCCGTCGCTTGAGTTATCTAATGCCCTTGATGTCTCAATGCGGTCCAGGTGAATTGTTCGGTGATGACGAACCATTTAATGGCTAGCTAATAAAAGCTTAACTTTGATAGTTTTATAGAAGCGAGATAGGATTTGGTTGGTATTTGGGTTAGTATTGGGTTGGTCGTGATGAATAATGAGTTATGTGGAGGCTAGTATGTCCTTTAAAGCATCTACACCCGCTTTTGAGTAGCAATCACAGGCCTTTGGTGCTCACCCTATGCCACCCGTAATGAAGTGTGTTTCACACGGGATAAACACAAATCGATGTGTCGTGTCCCGGAGAAGGAATAATACCTTTCAATCAAACATACTCAACTAAAGATCGATTTTGACATGGGCGGATTGGTATTGAGTTAGTATAACTTAAGTTCTCTTTATTGTACGTCGTCTTGGGATCGTTCGCAAACTCATAATATAAATACTAATCTGAGCTTGTGATTTCTAATTCGAGCTTTTACTCGCACTTGCTGCAATTGGGGTCAGACTGATAAACATTACAGAACTATGCCATTGTGAATAACTCACTTTAAAGTGGAGATTGGCGAGGTTTGTATTGGAGTTTGTACTTACAATAAACTGAATTTACAAAGGACGACTGGAATACTTTTGATATTGATCGGTTGTGGCTTATAAATAAAATGTGAGATAGCAAATTGTAAAATGAACAGAAGGTTAAATGAATACTCTTTGCAGGTTTATCGAGTGGTTTGCTTGGTTATTGTATTGTGTTGTGTTTGGTGTAGTGCAAGTAGTGATTCTGAAGATGATTATGTGTATGAGGAGGCTCACGCGATACAACAAGCTAATAGAATAGTAGATATGATTGTACCTTTGCTTAACTTGCATATAATCCAAGAGAAGCGAATATTCGCAAGCAAGATCCAAAGCATACGCCAATACCTTGATCAATTGGTAGAAGTAGAAGGGCGTATGAGCCAGAACTTAAACCAATCTAGCCACGATTATTTCGACCCAGTTATAAAGGAGTACGAACGTATAATAGATCGCTCGCCATCTCTAGTGGTTAGAGAAGTGCTAATACAGAAAAGTGCCGCGATAATAGCCCGGAAGCTATTAGGCTACATAAATGGCTGTCTTGATGGTAAATATATACGTGTCATAAGGTCTGGTAAAATAGAGGATGTAATAGCTCAAGTGAGAGAATTGAACGATATTAAGTTTGATCGTAGCACTCTAGAAACACAACTGCAGACAAACAAACTCAGACGAACAGCAACAGAGATAGAGATAGAAGAAAAAATAGCCAAGATTGAAATCAAGGTCATTGAGTTAGCCAAACACTATGATTCCAATGCATTATACGAGCGATACAACGAAGCCGAGGAAGAAGAAGCAGAACTAAACCAATTCCTGGAAAAGGAAGACCATACAACAATACTCGAACTAGCCAAAGAATTGGAAGAAAATGTAGGAAACAGAACATCTAAAGATGTGTGTGGACTAGTAGCTAGTGTAGGCGCAGTTATAGACACTCTAAGTACAAAAATACAGGAATTAGACAGAGATAAGAAACCC